CTACCAGAAAACAATTAAAGTTCTCAAGTGTCTGATTTTGATCTGGAGAGTGGAGAATTGAATTTTGAGAGAGCTATTTAAAGCAAGATGCAGGTTTGCTTATAGGGTGAGTCATGGAATTGTTTTAGAATAGTTGCATTTTTTTTTACATATATATAGTTATTGATTCTAGAAGCAATTTTACTTCAAAAAATTTTAGATATCTTTTTTTTTTTTGCATTCTTTTTTTCTGTTAATTAATAATGGGCAAATCAGCCAGAAGAATGGAGAGCAGAAAGTCACAAATATTGAATACTCTGATTACATTAGTAGCATCACCTTCAAGAAATGTGGACGGCAAATTCAGTAGTCAGCAAGCAAATGGTATAGCTTTTCACTAATTTGTAAGAAGGGTAATTAATTGTTCATGGATTTTAAAGACGTATAGAAACTAATATTAGTATAATTTCTATTAGTAGATATGTATAATTATTAGTATAATTGATAATATTAATTATATTACATATACTAATATATATTATATATTACATGTAACTAATAATATTATTATTATAAGTTTGTAACTAATTAAATTAAATATTATATATATATATATTAATTTATTTTAACGGATGGCTGTGGGGGATGGGGCTGGGTATACTCCCCCACCCTTCACCTCACCCCAACCCCAGCCCTTTTAGCCCTCTACGAGGTTGGTGTCCGCGCCCCAATTGCCATTCAAATTTGGATTTTGTCCAAAACTTTTCAAATTACTAAAAAATTAGAAAATTTCAAATTTTTAGATACGATTTCAAAATTTCAATTCCAACAGTGGTAATCCAAACAACAATTATAGGTTCTCCATTTCAAAATCCTTTTACCAAAAGCCACGTAGTTCTAGTACTAATTAATAATCAGTCTGCCACATCAAACGCAAATGGGACCCTCATGCCACATAATTTGTGCCGGGCTACATAAACTGCATGAGGAAGAGTAGCGCTGGGCTGCCCACTGAGCAACCCACCAAATTGTTGCAACTGGGCAATGAATTCTGTCCTGCAACCCAAGCAAAATTGCTTGAGAAATATTTGGAAAAATGGTTATTGGAAGAATCAAAATTGGTATGAATGATCCAACTTTTCATTAATTTGCAAGACAAGTATGGCTTACTATTGGCTCAAACCACTGGGTCATTGGCTCAGTGGCCACCAAAAATGCCATTTTTAAGTGGCTTGTTTCCAAAAAAAAATCCAAGTGGATGTGCTGTGCACCCATCTGGTCCGGTGGTGGTTCAGTTCCCTCTGGATTATCCCTGGATCTCCTTATGTCCGCCCCCTTCCCCTTAGTGTAGGATAGATTAGGTTTATCGTCTCCGAAAAAAAAAGAAAAGGTATGGCTTACTATTCTTGGGTTTAGAAAAACTATAGAGATTAAGTTAAATTATCAAGCTGCCCATGTCACATCAACTATTAGTGGGTATTTAGTGCCACATAATCTGGCCCTCACTAAATATGAAATATCAGTTTCACTTAATTAATTCGGATGTTTAATTTTTTTTTTTTGATATCAAACACGTCTGAATATATTAAGGTCTGAATCTATTATGTTTAAGTGTTGAATTAGATTATCAAATAAGGCATTACTTACCTTGTTCATTTACCCATCATAATGGGAACTTTCCTTTTATAATTTAAATTGTAAACTATTTCCACTATTACAATAATTCAGCAAATTTTGACTGTTCAAATACCTCTCTAAATTGTTATGTATGTAAGTCTTTTTCTTAAAACTAATTATGTTTCAATTAAGACCACTAGACAGCATAAGATTCGAACTGATTAATCCTGCAGTTTGGGCTACATCAACAGGTGGCTTTCAACTTTTTTTTTTTTTAACAGTTTCATGCTTGAAATCTTTGTCTTTTCATTTTTATTTTTGATATTGCTTCATTCCTTTAGTAATTTTCCCGCCTTAAGAGTTTTTTGCTCAACTGATATGGTACAGAAACAGGACAATGTTTGGCAAATCCAAAAAATGACTTGAGGATGCGGATGGGTATCGGATGCATATGGAATGACACCGTACTTATTGCTGATTTGCTAAACTTAGCCTTAACCGGGTAGCCTGAATAATTAGGAATGGCAACCGGACGAGATTAGAGTGGGACACCGTTGCCTAAACATATCCCCCACCCCTAACCCGCCCCGGTCACCCACTCCCCTGCCTCACCCCACTTTCCCCGTGGGTGCCGTTGGAAAAAAGTTTATAATTAGTAAAAAATTTAATTAGTAATTTAGTATAAATATATAAAAAGTATATAATAAAATAAATGTATAATTAGTAAAAATTGTAGTTAGTAATTTAGTATAAATATATTAGTACAACTAATCAATAATTTGTATTAATATAAATATATAATTATTAGTATAACTAATAATATTAATTATATTACACATACATAATTTGATATTTATAATTAATAATATTAAGTATGTTATGTGTGTGTAATATATATATATATATATATATATATATATATATATATATATATGATAGGTTGCAATTTTATCATTTATTTTATTATTAATTCTCCCTATTACTTGACCTGATGTGAATTAATTATTAGATTCTACTCACTTTTCGTAATTTATATTTATTTCAGGGAGTAGAAGAAAAATATCACAATAAAGGCCAATTTGATAGTTATCGGGAAAGAATTCACATAGCAGGCAATCGAGGGCATTTTTGGAATAAGGAGATACAAGTCTTTGTTGGTAATTCGCACAGGGCAGCATTAAAAAGGAGGAACGCAGGGCTGAAGGAAGGAGTCTTCTTCTTCCCCCTGAGGGGGCCGCCGCACAAGACCAGACAGTAGCAATAGGCCATTAGGATAGGAACTATTAGATTGCAGAGAACAAGCACTTTCTTTTTCTAGCTTCACTTTGACTTTTCTTCCTAGCTTTCCATTGCTTTCCTCCACGCATGTCAGGAGGAAGCAATTTTGTGTGGGCTTAGTTCATCCATTATGAACTAATTTTTCTACTCTAGTCGAGGAGCAACGGATGTTTTGGATCACCTAAAATTGTGAGATCATTTTAATTTAATCTTTTCCTTTTATTTATCGATATTCGCATATTTCTTAATTGCTAAGCTTATGGTTATTTAATTAATTGGTTGTCTTGGATCCGGATAATTAATTGATTGGGTAATCTATTGTCAATTGGGGTATTAAATCCGTAATTGTTTAATTACCTCAAAATAGTGACAACTGGCATGATTAGATTTGTGTTAGGGGAATACGTGGGCTAATCTAAAATAACCCTGGTAGTGCGTTATTTGGTTAGAATAGGGCTCCTCTAATACGTAAGGCAGTTGGGGAATTAAATTCTACGGGCGTACCTAGGATTATTTCTCAATTAGAGCAGTGATTAACGGGCGTACCTTGATCACCGACACAGTAAGGAGGGGTTGACTGCCATCGCTGGTTTGGTAGTTATAACCTATTTATTGGTAAATAATTGGGATTGCCTTTGCATCAGTGATCAATTAGGTGAACCATTGCTGAAGTTACTTCTTGGCTAGATCTTTAATTAACATTATCTTGATTTTAGTGAAGTGCCATTTGACTTTTACTTGCCTACTTTATTTTATTTTTGAATGTTTCCTTGTTTTAATTGATTTAGCCCTTTAATTATTGTTATCCTGAGTTCAATAAATTGTGGTTTAGTTTCTAGTTAGTTGTTTATTTTTATTTTCTCATTTGAATTTATTTAATCATCGTCGTTCCTAGAAAATCACCCCCTGTGTTACTTTGGATTTCTTAAGAAACAAATATACCCAGTCTCTGTGGATACGACCCTACTTGCCCTGTCTACAAATTCCTAATCATTTGTGAAAAGGAATAGCCATTCCATTCGGGTATATCGGATCAAGCACACTCTTCGGGAACAGGGTGAATCAAGTAACCCATTGCACACCTAGAGTCCCTGCTCCAGTACTTGGAATTGGGTTTTGGTCATTTTAACTGGCAAATAGGTTTAACTTTATTATTGCACAGGCTTCGACAACCTGTCAATATATATAATATTTTATTTAAGCGGGGGATGGGGCGGCCGTCCTCCGCCCCGTTTTTTAATGGGGGGAGCATTTTACACCCCGCCCCGCCCCATTAGTCCCCTGCAGGACACCCCAATTGTCATCCCTACGAATACTGAAATCATAGAGGTAGAAATTAATCCAGAAATTTAGGTCTTTTCTACATAGTAAAGATCAAACAGAACTTGCATACACTAATGTTAAGGGTACATCCAATGTGTATGCAGTTCAGAAATAATTATTAATTTTATGAATATATTAATTTTGTTTTTACAAAATTAAATTACATAAAAAAAAACTAAAATTTATTAGTAATTTTTTATCTTTAATACAGTTACAATATTTAAGGGAGTTATGAGAGACTATATTAGCAAATGTGATTAGGTGATTAGGGTGAAAATTAATTTTTTAAGGACAAAATTGAAAGTTCAAAAAAATGATACAAAATGTTTATCCCAAACTGCCAGCTCTCTCCTTTTATTATTGTATATAGGTACAGATAATGATTGCTTAAATTGATGTACTTAATCCGTAGTTAGCTAGGAAAGCATATTTTTTTTGAAAAAAAAAAGCATATGGAAAGCATATGGTACCATGTATCATTTTACATCATAAACACACATTTAAAGTTAAGAATAAAACACAAAAAGCTGAGAACCTCCTTTAAGCTCGCCATTTGGTAATACAGCCACTCTGGACGAACTGGGACACAAGCTGAGCAAGACAAAATGTAAATTCGTTGAGCTCATGTCAATACTCTAGGTCACCAGCCGATACACCAATGTTTTAAAACTCGGACCGTTAATTGAACCGGTGAAATGAAAGGGTCAAGATTCAACCGATCGGACCGGTTCAACTCCAGTTCAATAAATAAATAAATAAATAAATATATATATATATACACACACACATACCTGCGCACAAAATAAGATATAAATGTTAAACCACAATTAACATAAGAGCAATATCATAGTTATCCAACTTACATGTCCAATTGTCTAAATATTAGAATTAACAAAAAAACAATATAAGTGTAGAAAACACTCAAAAGGTCCAAACAAATCCAATTTCTGAGGTTTCTATAATCTTCTTCGTCATTCTGGGACAACAAAGCTTCAAAAATAAGCCATCTTGACAAGTCGTCATCACCATCCAAGACCATTATATGAATCACTGGCAAGTGATAAAAGTATAAAATTCATATTAATATCATCACACCAATTGATACAAATCTTAAAAATAAAAATAAAAGAGTTCAAACAATTCTATACCAATTACAATTTGAATATTTAATGCCAATCATCATCTTCATCATCATTAAAAAAGTTTCGACGCTGAAATATTTCTAAATCAACATCTTCTGCTTCATCTTCATTATCTAAAAAATTAGCATATTTAATTATTTACACATTCAACTAGATATGATAAATAAATTACAATTTCAGCTTTTACAATAACAGGGGATCTTCTTAGACAAATTAAAAACACAGGTCAGGTGACATATTCTTTTATCTGATTTTTCCAAACAAGTTGCAGATCCAGTTCAACTAACTGAACAATCTCATATGCACTTTCTCAAGGTGAAAAGAACCAGCCCTTGTGGAGAACATGGGAGTGGGACTTTGTTGTCTAGATATACATAAAGCTAAGGTTAGTTGGCCTGGACGCCCTTGGTACAAGGACAGGGTGACCTTCACTTCTGGCTACTGACCATTAGATAACTACAAAGAGCTCAGCTTATATATGTTAGGACAAGTAGACACACGGATACCATTACATCAAAAGAATTAGACAAATTTGTGAATCTCTTTGTTTTCAACCTCTTAAATAATAAGAGCAATAATTGCATTGCACAACAACAATACACAACAACATCACCTTAAACTCCAGACAGTAAAAGCAATCTCTAATTCTTAAAAATAAACTCTATTGAATACAAATGAAGGGATTCCAGTGGTACACATCCATATTCATTCCTATCACAAGAATTTCCAGCAAAAAGAGATGCGCCGCTTAGTAATATCAAGAGTTTGATCCTGTGATGACTGCCTTCATGCAAGAGGACACTGACAAAACACGCCCGAAGGGAAAGCCAAAGAGAATCGAAGTTGAAAGAAAAATTAAGAACCCTGACTGAGTACAGGAACTAGACCTTGTAAAAAATCAACAGGCAATAATACTGATCATGGTCAACAAATAAGTAATCACCTTTTCTTCGTTTTCTTTCTGTTGCTGATCATAATCAAGAAAGCCAATCATTTCTTTATGTAGTTATTCACATTTTGCATGCATGCAATCATCCAATGACAAAACCTTCATGCTCCAGGCTCCAGCACTCTCTGTTTTTACCTGTATCAAAACTCATAAAGAATTTCTTTTAGATAACAAAAACCCATAATATGACGATCATATCCAATTTTACGGTTCTTCTGCTCGAAGAATCGTATTCCACAGATCATGAAACATCCTCAAGAACTAGCTAGTCTCGATATTATTCTAATAAACTGAAACAGAGAACAAAACTACCCAACTAATAAAAATTGCACCACTATTTTCCTCCATAAATTCCAACAATTTCCCGGCAAGATAATCTGGCAACTTATTTTTTGGGTAGTAGTGTAAAAATTTCAAAAAAAAACCAGAAAAATAAGTATAGCAAGATCAGAAATATACTAACAAAATTTAAAAAAAAAAGAAATTGATGATATATATACAGAGGGCCGAGGGGATCAAGTTTACTTGCTTCGTGCTTCCTTCGTGCTGATTGCTATGGATCAAGTTTGGAGTTTGGACTGAGAAGCCGAGAAGGAAATAGAGACGGCAACGACGGCAACTCGGCAAGAGCAGCCAAGCAAGAAGACTGAAGAGGCGAAGATTGGAGTGAAGAATAGACTGAAGACTAGGTTTAGATGTTTAGTCCTTAATTTCAGTCAAAATTCAGTCAATTTTGTGAAAAATTAAAAAACCGCGGTTCACGGTTCGATCCGAGTTTAACGGTTTGAGCGGTTTTTTACGGGTTTGCCCGGTTCTAGAACCAAGTCAACACCAGCTATGAACCGGACCGGACACATGGCCGGTTCGCGGTTTGACCGGTCGAGCCGGCCGGCCCGGTCCGGGTTTGAAAACATTGCGATAACTCGGACTATTCAGACAGCAAACATAATACTGGACAGAAATTTGCATGTAAACATCTCCAACCGTTCCATTAGACCAAAAGCAAAATATACGCCTGTCAAATTACTATATCAAATTATAACTCAGTTACGAGCAAAAAAAAGGCATACTTCATATTATGTGAACAAGCAAAAAATTTTACGTGGAAATAAGGGCGACTTAAAAGGTGGAAACTGCTGTTAACTTGAGATTGTTTGAAGTAGATAGCTCTCCATAGCTACTAGAAAATTATAAAAATGGAAAACTAGATGGACATCGCCATTCATGATAATAAGCTGTGCATTGGACATGCCTGTCTCATTTAGGCTCAAATTCATGTTATGCTAAACGGGTATAGAAATAGCTGCACAGGCTAAGCTAACAGGGAGATCTAACTCGACACACTCAATAATGTAAACATATCCAAGCACCACATTTATCTGTACAACTCTATTTGGTTACAGAATATTTGTCCACAAATGCCAGATCGACCTGAATGATAGCAGGTGCTTGAGCATTGAAAGGTTTCGTATAGATCAATTATGACTACAGTTGACATCTGGCTTCCAGCTCTACACACAAAATACAATAAATAGCCATATGAATCCAACATTTTTAGCTCACAAATACTTCAAAACCACAAACAATTATTGACTTGTACCAAATATGAATTTCTCAATTCCCCTTTCTAAACAGGACAGCAGCATAATAAGAGTTGGCAACACCATGCATGGGAAGAAATTTTATGTGATGTATCATGACAGACACAATCGGAAGAAAGTGGCATAAGTTTCAAAAAGTTATTCACTGTAAAATATGTCAAGCTAGAATTAGTAAAGAACTAAGCATCACTAAATGAATTTATGAAGTGGGTGTATCCAATGCGGTAACAAACAAATAAATATTTCCAATAAAATGGACACATAAAACATAGTTGCAGAACATCCACCTATCAAAGATGGTAAAACGCCATGTGTGAAGATTGATAAGATCAAGGAATGGTGGACTTCAGTTGTAATTTCGACAATTTTTTATCATGCTATCCAAGGCCATTAAAGGATTCTAGCAAGAGGTAGGTGGAATTTGGACAGGTATTACAAAAGTGTGATTGCATCTAAATTGGTACCAAAAGAGCAACAAGGGTGGACATTGACAAGGAGAACCACTTTAAATTTGCCAATTGTGCGGAAGCAATCTTGGTATTGCATTTTGCAGTTAGAGGCTACAAAGTCCACAAAAGTTTTGGCAACTCAAAGGACTATAACAAAGTTCAACAAAAAGGAGACAAAAAGACAGGGTTCATACAGAATAGAACTAGAAGCAATCCCAGGTGAAGTGAACTTTGGCACAAATCTAAGGTAGCTACATTCAGGTCACACAGACCACAGGCTTGAAAATGATTTTGTTTGCAAAGGTGGGACACTTTACAAAAACCCAAAAGAGAATTACGAAAATGATGCACTGAATTGTTAAAATAAAAAAAGAAGAAACTTAAGAGTAACTGCAATAGAGCTGGAAGTTCACATAGTTTATAATTCATCCAGCAGGTAACCTACATCATGCAATTCAACAAAACATTCAATGATCCTCTAATATAATCCTCAACAAGAATTTCCAGAAAACAAATTTAGAGTGGCTTCAATGATTGTGTCATTGTGAGTCTTTGGGTTTGTGTGTGTGTGTGTGTGTGTGTGTGAGAGAGAGAGAGAGAGAGAGAGAGAGAGAGAGAGCTAACTAAACAGTAAACTGATAGGTGAAAACCGGAACAAAAATCCTCCACTGAGGTTTACTTCGGCTGTTTCAGACAATGGAAAATCATTTTTGTGTGCCATCTTTCTATTTTTCTAGTGGGAAATTGTATGGAAATTACAACCAGCAGTGTTGCGATACTGCAAGAGTTTCTCTCAACCACCAGTCCCCTGGGGCTGGAAAAAAAATTATTCTATACCAAATCTGGGAGGGAATCTATTAGAAGGATAGAAAGAAGCACAAAGATTATCCAGAATTTGCAATGCCCCTTTAGGAACATCACACAACAGTTCTATACCCATTCAAGTAAAATTTAATAATTCTTAGTGCACGGTGGATGATAGTCATTAAATTGAAGTTTAAGAAGTTCTATGTCATGATGAAGACTATTACTTGTAAATACTACAATTGGCTGGCTAGTACCGGTGTCAGCTGCATGCCATATCAAACAAAATTCTTCAATGTTGCCAAAATGTCTAGCAATGAGTTCACCCATTAACCAGTACAATCCAGTAAAAAAGCCTCCCAATACCACAGCACAAATGGACTTAGTAACTTTAATACCTGAATGTTCCAAATTTCATCAAAAAAACTACAGGAAGCGACTTGGGATCAAGTTCAAAAGATCCCTCTGGTACACCTTTGCTCTCTTGGCTGCTCATCCTAAAAGAAGGTATTTTGTGGGAAAACCTAAAGAGCTCTTCATCACGTATCAAAAAAGTATCCTTCTTATTGTGGTTTCTTCTGTGATATAAACTTCCATATCCTTCCAATTTATCCAAGGAAGCAACTCTAGTGTCAAAAGGATTTCTCTGGACAATCTCAACTATCTCATACTGGCAAGATAAATGATTTTCAGGATTAGAAGCACAGCAACTAAGGTTCCAATCCTTATAGAGGGCCCACGTCTCTCCCTTTTGAGGATGTATTAAGTAAGGACTACCAAGATTGCAAGAAGCAAAATTATCTTTGCAGAAAGCTTGACGCAAAAAGTTACAACGAGATAATGACAGGGCCTCCTGTTTACCACATATAAATTCACCACAACCAACTGGTAACCCAGGTGACTTGAGACTGCATATGATTTTTGTATCTCATCATTACTACTGTGATAACAACAAGCCCAAATTTGACCAACGTGAAACCTGCTTAACGGGTATGTTCTTCTGAAGTTATTAAACAATTTGTTTGAATGATAAATAGGACTTGAGCCTTCAAAACCTGAAGAATCACAAGAATCTGAGAACGTATCTGAATTTGAATTGGCCAAGCCTAAACCTGCCTCACCAAGATCATGTGCTGAACCTGAATAACCTGAATCAGACTCTGACACTGAATGGGAATCATTTAGATCACATCCCGAACCTGAATGACCCGAATCACCAGAATCTGATCCAACCAGATCAATGATAGCATGTTGTTCAGAGTCGTTCTCATATGCGTCCTTGTCTCCATTTTCCTTCTTTTCTTTGCCCTTCTCCAGGTTGGGATTGGATTTGTTGAATCAGGTTTTCTAGAACAACTTTCCTTGCTTTTTTTAGCAGAATCAAGCTCTCTTTCTCTAGGTTCAAGCATCCCCTGTTTTGAACCCAAGACCTTTTCCCTCACCTCAATCTCCTCCTCTAAACTCTTGAACTTTTCCACTTTCTTAACAAGCTCATTTTCTCTACTCTCAATCTGTTTCTCAACCAACTCGAGCTCTCTCCAACGCTCCGCTACCTGCCTCTCTTTTAAACATAATTCTCTAAAACCCTCATCAACAGAACTTCTAATATGCTCTCAAAAAGCCCCTCCTATCATCTTCTCTACCTTACTCAATTTCACTTCCCTAACTCTAATATCATCTCTAATCAAACTCCACCCTTGTTCCAAAATCAAACGACACTCTCTCTCCTTCTCCTCAAATTCCTTCGCCCGAGCTTCAATGGCCTCTAGCATTAGACCAAGTTCTCTAGAACTTTCAGAAAGAGATCCTTGTACTCCATTTAGATGATTTTCTCTAGCTTCCAATCCAGTCAAAGCCTCTCGGAACATTTCCGTATCAAGTCCAAATTTTGCTCAAATTTCCCGGATATCTCCTCCAAAACACCCATAAATAAGTGTGGTTTATAATAATGCGACAAAAAAAAGCTTAGAAAAAGCTTTTATCTCCAGAAAACAAGTACCTGTGGCAACAATTGGAGGAATATGCATGTGGCGACTGTGTCGAATTTTAGTGAGTGTGCTGAAATGGCAACAGGTAGTGTTTCATAGCGGAGGTCTTGGCAGTCACATTGCCCATTTCCGACCAGTCAATACAATTTGGAAGTACGTAGCCCGGTATTCCGGTTTGTGGCCATTCCTCAATTGTGTTTCTTTATGTTTCTTCTACCCATTTGGCTTTTGGCGGGGACCATATAAAACTGATTAAACCGATATCATTCTTACGTTTTTAATGAAAACAATTTTTAATTTCCCTTTTATCTTACATTAATTATTATTTTATTTCATATATATATAATCGTGACGGTAAATAACAATTCAAACGGGATCGAAAATTTGCCTCATCAAGTGCACACACTGTTTTGCATCGGTTTCCCTCCTCACATGATATTATCATTGCAAAAGCAGCATTTTGGCCTTGCAAAAAATTTTAGATTTTTTATTCTGTATCTAAGAACGTGCTCTGAGCCTCTGACCACCTTTTACTCAAAAAGTTTCACTCTAGGTTGTTGAAGATGGATTTTAGCCAATGAAAGGACTGGAGATCGGACATAACGGAGCCAAATTAGTGCAATGAATGTCGTGCGAAATTGTAATGCCCATCAATTCAGCCTTTTGCATGTTTGTATTGGCTAGTTAAGAAGACTCAACCATATAAACAAAAATATTATTATTATTATTAGGGCGAATTATAGTTTTCGTGCTTAATATTTGGCCTGTGTATTAAATTGGTCTCTAATATTTTAGCCAAAATAAATCTGGTCCTCAAAACTTTTTATTTTAGGCAAATTTAGGATAATTAATGAAAAATCACGGTAACTAACAATCAAGATCAAATTGGCTTTAGTCAAAAGTTTTGACTTTATATTTTTAGTCCCTAATGTTTGATGTTTCAATTAATGTGGTCCCTTAAATTTCAAGTAGTTATAATTCGGGCTTTAGAGACAAAATGAAATGTGAATTGAATTGCATATATGACAAAATGTCTTACTAAATGCCTATAAAATTTCAAGTTGAGAGACAAAATGAAGTGTGAATTCAATTACATTTATGACAAATATCTTCCTAAATGCCTATAAAATTTCATGACAACACTTCTTTTCAGAACTAGATGAAAACACTTTATATCAACACAATAACATCATTTAAGTAAAAAAGTATAAATTTTGTTGAATACATTACAATCGGATGACAATATATGAATAATTTATAAAATAAAAAACAAAAGGAGATAATTCTAGTATTAATATAAAAATTTATTATCATTACATTGCTAGTCTACTACACAAGTCCTTGCATGACTTGTATACATATATAGGACTTAGATTGCTATAGTTAGGAATTGTAAGTATAAAATCCAGTAAAGATAAATACTATATCAAGTGCTTTTAATCATTATCAATTAATTATCAGTTAATTACTAATAGCATAAAACAATAATTGTATATATTTTACCAAAAATTGGGATGGATTATACAAAAAAGAAGAAATATATGAGAAATTAGTGCCAAAAATTTAAAAAAAAAAGGTTTAATTAAAACTCCTAGTACCCATGTAACACAATTTCATTTTAATTCGCATCTTATTATATCCTAAAACCCATAATATCACTATTGAAATCTTAAGTGACTAAAATGATTAAAATTTCAAACATTATGGACCAAAAATACAAAGTTCAAAATTGTTGACTAATGGCAATTTGATTTTGACCATTAGTCATTGTTGAATTTCCATCAAATGTGCTTAATATTAGAAATTTTGGAGACCAAATTTGTTTTGGCTAGTATATTAGGGATTAATTTAACATTAATGCTAAACATTGAGGACTCAAACTACAATTCTCCTTTATTATTATTGTAGATTGCCAGTACTTTAAGTTTGAACATACCATAACAAAGATAACCCTTTCTTACATACATACATGTCTGAGGAAGTATACACTTATCAGTATCAAATAGAAATTTGAAATGAAACTTGTTTAATAGACCATGTGAAACAAGATTCTTCCTAACTCTCGGTACATCAAGAACATTAATAAGAGTTATAATATTTTGACAAGTAAATTCCAAATTCAACTTCACTTATTCCTACAATGGGAGCTGTGGCTGAAGTTTTTATGTAAAGCAACTATTCCATTTTGAGCTTGTTTCATAGATTTGAAGAATTCTTTATTTTTGCATATATGTTCAGCCCTAGTACTATTAACCAACTAAGCAAAGCCATCTTCCATAAGGTTCACCTTGAAGATCATTGCAACCAGCCCTTTACTTGCATTATTGAAAGGGGAAAAAATCCACTTTTTATTCTTAAATTTTGAGTTGGGGACACATTTCGTTCTCAAACTTTTAGGCGCACCACATTTAATACATGAATTAATTATTTTGGGCCACATTTCGTCCAAAAGGGTAAAATGTTCAATTTGAATGGAGAAGACTGACGTGGCCGTTAATTTTGACTGAGAAATTGTTTTTACTTAATGGTCACATGCCAAACACGTGACTTTCTCCATCCAAATCAAACAATTTACTGTTTTTGGACTAAATATGGCAAAAAATAATTAATTCATATACTAAATGCAGTGCGTTTAAAAGTTTGGGGACAAAATGTCTCTCTCTCAAAATTTAGCGACGAAAAGTTGATTTTTCCCTTATTGAAGGCCTCTTACTTCTGACTTTTAGCC